TTACTTAATGTTTAGCTTGGTGATAACTTTGAATTCAGTGATAACAATTGATGACTTATCCATAGATTTGCAAGGACAAAGCTAAGATAGAAATTTGGTTCGCTGGCCTTTAAGCATTGATCTGGGTAATTCTAATTCACATCATCCACTTTTAGAGGTTGAAGATTGGTATATGTTGGAGGATTTGGGACTTAACTCAAATTAAATTACCTTTACTTATTTATATTTGCTTGAGCATTCAGATAAATCAAAAGCAGTACTAGGATATGCACCTAGGAAACACTTGTATATTGTTATAAAGGTTGTTTTTAGTGCTTCTTAATCATCAAGCTCTTGGGCACAATCATTATTATTATTTTTTCAATTTGACTAATTTGGTTTGCATCAATTGGAATTTATGTTTGAATAATTTCTTGTAGTTTGGTTTTTATTAATTATTTTATTTGATTGTTTATTGGCATCAATGAGACTACATTGTAATAAAATTATTTGCTTTTCATTTTAAAATTCATTATTTATTGATGGCTTCATTTACTATTTCTTTGTTAAATTTTTTATTTTGTGCTTTTTCAACCAACAATTTTTTCCCTTTAATTTGCATTTACTAGTTTTTTAACCCAAAGCCATATTATGACCAAAAGAACCCACATGGTGAGGAGCGTAGTTTCTTTGCACAAACTGTGGTGGATAATGGAGTGATTGAATGAATTCACAAATGTCAACAAGAAAGAAAGAATAGGCAATCCCATTACAAGCCCAAAGGATAAATTTGCAAATTTAAAATTATTTAAATCCTTCACTTCTTTTACATTAATTATTCAAACATAAAATAATAAAATCCTTCCCTTTCCTTTCCCTTCCTCATTTTTATTTATCCAAACAAAATTAACACAAATCATTTCCTTCCATTTTCTTCCCTTCCCTTTCTCTTCCTTCCCCTTCGTTTCCTTTTATTTTCTTCCATTCCCCTCCCCTCCCTTTCCTTTACTATTTTCTATCCAAATAAAGTGTAACTAAGCAATGGACAATCTTCAATATTAAGCCCTTTCATAAGAGTTAGGTTTAGTTTGATAATAGTGTTGTATATTTACAGTTATAATTTTTTTTAATATTTATTAAATATATAAAATATATTTTATGTATTTAATATTTATTTTAATTATATATTTAGCAAAGCCCTTACATACTATTTGGATTGAGGGAGACTGATGGAGAGGGATGGAAAGTGAATGGGACGAATGATAATTGAGGGTGAGGGAGAAGGAGGGGAGGCTGTCTCCTTCCTTATGTTTGGATACCTTAAAAGCAAGAAGGGGAAGGAGATGGAGGAGGTTTGGATCCCCGCAACAACCCCTCACAGCTGCTAATTTCCAATCCCCACAATTTGGGGGGTTTGGGATGGATATGGCAAACATTCAAATTTTTCATTTTAAAATTATAGTAATATCCTCTTTACCGTTATTATTTAAAACCCTCTAGTTCTTCTTCAACATAGTTATCAACAATAACAGCAATTGAATTCAAGGTAAGGATACCACGAACTCAACTTTAATTTTGATTACTTTTTTACCTTTTTAATGTTTCTGAAAAAAAAGTTCAATTATTTGTAGAGTTTGGTGTTAAGAAGGAAGTAAAAAGCTTAGTTGGCCACTTGATAGATTTGAAAGTTAACGTCTGCACTGCTGTGCTACAATTATCTAGTATGAACATCCTTGATTGATTTTAGTAACTATTATTCATTTACTATTGGTGTTAATTATTATTATGCTGCTAATATTATTGGTTAAATGCTAATTTCGGTCCTTCAACTTTATAGAGTTGCACTTTTTTTGTTCCTTAACTATTTTCTGCACTTTTTTTATCGCTCAACTCTAAGAATTTCATAATTTTGTTCCTTCCATCAGTTAAGGTAGTTAACTTAGTCCACTTGGCATTTTTTATATTTTTTGTAACGACACATCAATAATAAATCATATAATTAGCTTAGGTGGACTGCGAAATTGCCATGTCATATTCAATTATCATTTTTAATTCTTTTCAATTCTTTAAATATAAAATTACTAAAATGCCCCTAATATATTATTCTTGTCGTCATTTTCCTCTGCCCTTTCTCTCTTTGTTTTCCTCACCACCATGAATGTTTCCAGCCTTCCTCACTCTTTCTCTTTTCCCCTCCTCCCCATCCCCTGCAGGAGACAGCTAGGTTCGCGAGGAACCTAGACGAATCAAGTTTGTGAGGAACCCAAAAGATCTAGGTTCATGTCAAACCCATAGCTCAAGGGAGTCTTCAATCCCACTACTGTTCCATTATACATCCTCAATTTCTTTACTAATGTTCAAAAAAGCATAGCTATGAGATTATTTCCTAGTCTGGCTAATGAAATAGGTGTGTTAGCCTTTTCAATCTAGTGTATTTAACATAGATGGTTTTCAACAATTCAATTAAGAGTTTGTTTGTGTTATGGCATATGAGGTGCTTAGCTTGTTTCATGATTAATCAAGTCCAAGGTTTTATTTATTTGCATTAAAATGTCAAATTGAATTACTTAATTTTTCTAATTTGGGTTATATTGTATCCAATAAACCCAAACTATCTGGGTTCCTCATGAACCAGTTCTAGGTTCATCACAAGCCTAGTTCTGGGTTCATTACAAACCCAATTTTGGGTTCTTTGCAAACCCAGTTCTAGGTTCATGAGGAACCCAATGAGGGTTCTTTCGAACCCATCAAAGAGTTCTCGTTGAACCCAGAAATGGGTTTTCCTTTTTTTTTTCCCTTTCAAATCTAGTATCTTTTTTTTTTTTTCCTTAGCACCAGATTGTCAGATTTATTGCTATTATTGTTAGTAATGTGAGATGAGAAATCAAATTCCCTCCTTTTTGAAGAAAGAAAGAGAAGGAGGGCCCAGATGATTGGGAAATCAAAAGGGAAGGTGAGATAGAAAATGGTAGAGGAGAAGGGAAAATGAACAATGAGAGAGGATGAAAACCATGAAGAAGATGAAAGTGAAGGTAGAATTGTATTTTTTTTCTTTTAATTTGTAAATTTGATTAATGTTGCGAAATCTGACTTGGCATTTTTATGTTTACATGTAACCTGATTATATGATATGTTATTACACATCATAAGAAATATGCCATTCTGGAATTTTTAATGGCCAAGTGTCACTTAACTGATGGAGGGACCAAAATTGTGTAGTTTTTGAAGTTGAGGAATCAAAAAAGTGCAACGGCAACTCTATAAAGTTGAGGGACCAAAATTAGCATTTAACCAATATTATTTCATCTTGTGATATACCTTTCTTTTGCATTATTTCCATGACTATTCTAATATCAAATATGGGAAGCAAGTTGCTACCTGTAATAACTTGTACTTCAATTGTGTTTTCTAAATAATGTTTTAATTGTAGAGTAATTTACATACAATAGTTTGAATTTTCTTTCTTTAGCTTTTGGTTTTAATCTTTCTTTTGTCTAGTTTGTTTCTCTAGAAAATCACTATATTTACATGAGAACTAGAATCAATAGAACCATCAATTTCATAATTGGGCATAGTATCTTTGGTTTCTTCGGAATATGGACCAACTCCTTGAGTCTCTGTACATGATCAAAATGAAATATTTTTAGTTAAAATCTTAAATTTGAAGTTAGATGTAGTAGCCAAATTGGAGAGGGAAAGGAAAAAAAAAAAAAACAAAAAACAAAAACAAAACAAGGACTCTAAGATACTCACTTCCTTAGGCACTCATCATAAAACCCATAAACTTGAGTAAATTGCATTGAGAAAGATGAGCTATTTATCAAGAAATAGAAGAATGTAATTCTGATACATAAATTTCAAAATATGAATGTGAAAATAATACTCATGTGAACAAAAGATGCAATATTTAGAGCACAATATCATGAAAAATAACACCACCTTCACAAGTTCATATTAAATTGAATCAAGATTAGACACAAACCATCAACAACCATTTAGAACATGGCATACCTAACTGCTTTGGTGGTTTCCTCTTAAAATGGTTATTCATTGGGGGTAACACACTTTAAGGGCTAGCAAAAGCTGAGAAAAAGACAATCAAAGACGAATAAGAAGTTAAAGCCTTTATCAGATATCAAATATCTTATCTATACCAGCTAAGAATCCAAAATTAAACTTAAACAGAAGTCATCAGATTCTGAAAATAAAGGATAACCACTCATACTCATTGTTACAATTGAGTGAATAGTAACTACCTAATTTTCTTTCCTTTGTGTGATGTTCTTTTGTAATTTTGCTATTTTGATAGTGGTTTAGGAAGCAGTATGGCGTCGTGCTTCTACTTATTACAGTTTTTGCATTATAATTTCTGTATCTTGGTTTAATGAATTTTGCTGTCATGTTCAGTGCTGCTAAAATTTCCTGCAACATTTTTAGTTTCCTCCACTTGTTCCATTCTTTTAACCTGATTTTTTGTTTGAGTATTGATTTATTTCAAAAATAAACATCATCACAAACCATTAATTTCATAGTCTAACCAAAAACAACAAATATCTTCCCCATTTATCTACTAAGAGCACTGACATAGCAGTAGCTAGAATCTATTTTGACACAGCAGTAGCCTTGAGGCATTAATCCAAGTAATGTATATTGAAATGCCTTATATTTATATTTGTACATTGCTAAACTTTGATTATTCTTTCACTTCTTAGTTACATGGATTTTTTTTATTCTTATGAACCTTAGTTATACAATTGAATTCAAAGTATATAATGATATAGAATTTTAATTTGTATTTTATATGTATAGATGGATTGTAATATCCCAAATTTTCTGGTATTTTAGCATTTAGTTAGGGGCTTAATTGTGAGAAAATAATATTGTTGAGATTAATGGCAAAAATTTCTAAACTTGAGGGATTTAAAAGAGTAAAAATTTGGAAAAAGGGGATAAGGACCGGGTGATCTTTTTTTTCTTTCTTTCTTCCTCATCCTGTGTGCTTCTGCTCTTCCTGACAGCCCCCAAGCCCCTCTAGCCACCGACTCATTTCTTTGAGAAAATTGGTGACAAAGCTTGAAATTTCTCCTTCTTTCTCGTTCAATCACAAGATTTGGGGCTTAGAACTCTCTCTAAATCCAGAAATTTCCAAATCTGTTCTGCTCTGCGTCTTCCTCCTTTTGCTGTCCGCGAATTGCTGGTGGGTGGGTGGCGAAATTTTCAGGTTTCTTTGGTAAGAAGCAGCCCGAAATTCCTCTTTTCTCACTTGATTTGGCGTGGGTTCACTCTAAGCTCTTTTAATTTCTTTTAATTTTGGGTAGTTTGTGTGATTGCCCTCCAGGATCCCATCGGCTTCCTCACCAGCCAAGCCCGGTTTCTGCTGGCTGCAATTTTGGAATGGACAGCTCCTCCAAGTCAAATTTATCAATTAATTGCTGCTTGTGTTGTTGAATTTAAATCATCTAGTGGTTACCCTTGCACTGTCCGAATTTTGCTGGAAAAATGGGGGAATTTCGATAGATTTAAGTGGGTTTTTTTTTTTTTTTGTTTAATTTAAGTGGAAATGAGCTTGAGTAGTTGCTGTAAATTTCTGGAAAAAAAAAAAGAGTAATCCCGTGACTTGTTGATTGCCAAAGCCGGTTCCTCCATTGTGTTTTTAGCTATATATATGTGTGTATATTTGTATATATATATATATATGTATATGTGCACAACCTGATTTTAGTGCTCAATTTTCGGAAAGTAGGAAATAAAATAAAATAAGAAAATAAATATTGCATTATAGGGGTTAATTACCGACAATATTAGAAAGGATTAACTATGTAGTTTTTATATGGGTATTAATTTTTGAATATTTGATTAGGTTCGTGATTGTTCTGTCACCCCAGCACTTGGAGTGAATTTTCTATGTTATGTGATTTGAGGTAAGTAAATTATGGTAACGCCCTTCGATTTCAAAGTATATTTTAAATTGTTTTTGAGATGGTGGCAAGGTGTAAATTGATTTTATTAGCACCGAACATGATTGGTTTGAAATGGAATTATTTTCATTGAGTGAGAGCATGCCTACTTGGAATTTACTTAACTGCCCTGATGAACTGAGAATTTTGTAAATTCTGATTTTTCTGTTAAATCCATGCCTACATGGAAATTTTCTGGTTTATTTCTGAAATTTGAGAGTGATTGTGAATCATGGATTTTTCTATAAATCTTGCCTGGTTTTGTCTTCGATATGGTCATGTTATTCGTGTGCCCGCTAGTGGGAGGTTTATAAATGCTAGCACATGTCGACATGTTATTGGTAGAACTGGTTCGTTTCTGTTATTTTGAAATCCTGTTAGTGGGATTATACACTAGTAAATCGTGTGCCTGCCAGTGGGAGATTTATAACACTGGCCATGACCTATAGAGGAGACGTTTATTTCATTTCCATACTCGTACCTGTTTTTCGTGATTATACTTGTCGGCATGCTATAAGTTTAATTAAGGACTATCCATATTTACTTACTGAATTATCTCATAGTTTTTCTTTGTCCACCATTTCAGGAAGGGAAGTCAAGAACGGGGAAAAACGAGGGGAGTGACGAGTTAGAAGGCTAGCCATCTTATAAATTGAGCATAGATTTAGATATAAATCATGATCTTGTAAGCTAGACATTGTTTGGAGATTTATGATATCATGGCAAATTTTAAAATTTTATCTTCAGATTGTGTGGTATCAGATTGTGGTATGATAAAGTTACGAGCCTTGTGCATTTGTGGGACCCTCTCACAAGTGTACGGGATCTGCCACGTCCCCGGATTTGAGTTCTGGGGTGTGACATGGATGCCATGAGAGAAATGCAGACCCATTTTGTAAGTGACTTGTCTTACCTTATAATTTGGACGAGTGGTACTCCCTTTTCTTTTATATTTTTCACATTTAATAATAATTTTTTTCATTATTTTGAAATC